TACCCTGGAGGGTGCAGAAGGATGGGAGCTGGGAGCAGGCTCTGGCTGCAGTTGCTTCAAGTCTTTCACTGTAACCACTAGATAAAGTCCATTGCATGAATTCTTGGTGGTTTCTTTGACTTCATTTGACCTTGGAGCTGTCAAGGCTAATTTACCATTGTGTGAGAGAGATTCAGGAGGGGCATTGTTGTTGGCTGGGTCTATGTGGCAGTAACGAGGAAGAGATTTTTTTTAAAACCATCGTTTCATTCTGTCAGAAGGCAGCCTGAAGCAGTACTCTGACAGAGATCCCATTTGTTACTAAAATGTCCGACAAGCTGCTATGTAATATTTAGTTTATTCATGCACACATTTCACTGAAGTTCTGGCTCTGATCCCTTTAGCTACCTCCCTTCATCTTTCAAATCTCATCTAAGATTCACCCCTGTGAAGCCTGAAAAAGTGATTCGGTTATCAGTTCATATGTAAATCCCCCACCTGTCAAAGGACTGCTGAACCATCTTTATGTTTGTGTGATTCACTGGAATCACTTCACGATCATGCAGCTCCCATTTTTATTTTCCTTACTTTACTCCTTCCGTGCTCTTTATTACAGCCACCCACTGTGATCTGGTTAATTTTAGATGATCGGATTTCCAAGCAAAGGTCATTGCCTAGTTATTCCTATGAAGCCCTGACCTTATTGTATCTTTCCTACAGTAAAGAACAAACCCAATAATAATAGTATAGTAACAATACAAATTTTCTGAGCCTCAGCTTCTTTCTTACTACCAATTCCCCAGGCTGTCTACTCCCCTCAAAGTCTCAGTTTGACCCATTTACTATTGCTCATTTAGAGCACTAAGAAGCTGATTTTGTGAAATGTAGACCATCCTCTGACCACAAATCTTAGCACATTAGGTGAATTTCAAGAGACACTCAGCACCCAGCGGTAAAGATCCCTAGTGTGTCGTTTCATTAGATTTTCAGTAAGTAAAAATAAATGAAGGATGCTAAAAGCCTCATCATCTTTCAAATATGCATGGGATGCACGAAGCAATCTGAAAAATTTTCAGCCTGAGGAACACCTCTGATATATTTAGCCATTTAAGCTATAAGACTGGTGGTAATGGAATTAAAACTAGGCTCCATTGTTAAAGTAGAAAAGAACCTTTATGTCAAAACTCAGCTGGCAAAATGCCATGATAACTTCCCTGTGCCCACAGTTTGTGCAGCTGTCAGTTATTTGATGGAAAATGCAAAGCCTGCTGTGGGTAAAACATTCAAATGCTACAATTTGAAGTGGTTTTATGCTTGCTTTTGGATGTGGGGGTTTTGTTTGTTTTTTGCATAATCTTTGTTCAGCTTCAGGAACTGATATTTCTCTTTTACTATGTGCTCTTTGCAACTGTTAGGATATCCATTAGGAAAGTAAAATGGCAGCCTAACCAGTGTGGCTAATTAATTTTTATGCCTAACTCCTACAGAACTATAGGCCACTCTATCTCCATCCTCACTGCTGCCTGAGCCCCTGCTGCGCCTGGATCCACAGCCCCATGCTGTGGTCACACTGACTGCTGGAGCCACTGCCCGTTAACTCTCAGAAAACAAACAAAGATCTCGAAACCCTGAGAGCTGTGGATGCGGAGCGGTCCTCACCCGCTCACCACGGTGTCAGCGATGGTGGAAATTTCAATGCGAACCCACTTTCCAGACAGTTTAAGGTAATACACTTATTTTGGGAGGGCAGTAGGTAAGAGTGAGTATGTAATTACTGCAGTTCAGATGAGCAGTATTACTTTACAAAACTGTAATAACTTAATTCCTCATAAATACGTGCCCACCTCGAACATATGCACACACCAGTTACCATCACCGATAACTGCCAGACCTGCAGCCTCATGGCAAAGTACTTCTCCTAATTTCTCATCTTTCTATGCACTGTTGCAGATCTTGAGAAATCATTCAGCTATTTTTCTGACCCAAGCCTGTATCTTGGCAAATACTTTCTGTGATGATTCCTCATTCTTTAATTCTTAATTTCCTTGGTGTTGTGAAGATTTGGAGGCATTTATGCTCATTGGCCATTTTGTGCAGGTATAAATAAAAATGTAAGAGCAGTTATGAGCTTTTGAAAGGGAATGTTACAAATTGCCCCTTTTTTGAATGGAAGATGATCATTGCGATATGTGACTATCAAATTTGGTAACTTTGTAAATTGTTAGGCGTTTTCTGCTTCCTTAGCAAAATCATGAAGACACTTTTCTCGTTCTTTTTGCATTTCCTTCTGCTACCGTTTTTACTTTGTTCTCAAATCTTGATTATTTGGCTTCTTTTTCACGCACTGAATTATTTTATTTAAAAAAATCCAGAAGTGTTTTAATTGTTCAAAGTAACACATGCTTTACATCATGCATAAAGGATAAGATATATAGGAAGCATATGACATATGAATACTGTTTAGTCTGCCTGCTCTTAGTTTTCTAATTTTTTCAGTCTATATGATGTTTCATACTGCTCTGACAGGCAAATGTTATTTAATGCGGTAGACTGTCAATCAGAATGCAAAGGAAAATTCAGACCATGACGCAGCATTATACCAATAATAGAGGTCTTCAGACACTAAGATAGGAGCAAACAGCAAATGAGAAAGGTAAAAAAGGAATTTGAGAAAGAAAGAAATACAGTGTAGTTTGCACAATTTTATTAAATATCTAACTTGGCTGTTTGATGGACTAAATCCTCCGCAAAACACACATGCATTACATGGAAAGTAATGTCTCATGTCAATTTACATGGAATTAACTCAAATCAAATGGAGCATAATAGGAGCAGAGGAAGATGGATTCAGCCGTTGAAACAACACGAAAGAGTTCAAGTAGGTTTTCAAAATTAAAATAGAAAGTGTCACAAAGGAAGAGAAGTCCCCTCAAGACAATGTTAGAAAATCAAACAGTAGACTTTCAGTATTTGCAAAAAAACAGTGACAACTGTCAACCAGTGCAAGCCTTAGAACTATGCAAGTAACAAAAGCAATATTATCCAGGTTTTGGATATATCTTTTGGCAAAATCTGACAGAAATGAGGAATTATGTAGCTTCTCTTAGCTCTGCAGTGTTAGATTTTCATGGACCACAAAACCAAGAACAAATACAAACACAAGTAATAGCACTTTAGTACCATTTTAAATATACTTTTACTATTGCATTTTCTTATCTACAGGGAACTTCACAATTATACAAATTATAAAGGACAAAAATCTCCCCAACAGCTAGCAAAAATGCAGTTATATAATCACTACCTTGTTCCTTTTCAGTTCTTATTTGAGTGATGTTGCTAGGACAATGAACTATTTCAATAGCATACTACCGATATCTGAAAAATAATAGAGAAAAAATGATTACTAATGTAAAGTCATGCAGTAGAAACAATTCCTTCTTTCAAGAATATTTAACTCACTAAAAGTGAGGGACATAAAAAGAGTAGCTTCTATTATTTTTTCTGCAGGTGTCACATATCGTCTGATTTTTTCCATACAAAATGCGATATGTTTATCTGCCTCGGAGGATCTTTGTGAAGCTTTTCACTGTTTGTGTAATGCTTGGGGATTCTTAGTTTTACAGGACTATTGCACTATAAATTAATTATGTTTGTGACTCTTATCTAATCTTCACTTTTGCTGACCAAGCAGATTTTGCTTGTTGAGCTCAAAATGCTTCACCTGCAACACCTCAGGTTTGACACACTTTCCCTCAGCCTGAGGTTTTTGCAGGCTAGGTGATGGGTCTGTGGTCTCTCCTCAGGAGAGGACGTGGCCATGGGTTTGGATTCTAACACTTGGCGATGCAGCCGTGTCTGAGACACTGGGCTTCTTCACACAGACCCAGGAGCTTGGCAGCACAAGACCTCAGGTTTGCAAAAATTTCCAGATTCTTATTGCAAAGCCAGGACTCAGAATCCTCCTTGAAGGTCTCTGAGGAAATCAGCTCTAGGGACAGTGTTTTCTTCTGACATGAATTAAAATGAAGATACGCTTTACCTGAAAACGTATTTCGTTTCAAGAAAATGTGGAAAAATCTGGTATTTGCACATACCCTTAAGATGCATCACATTTTTTTGTTTTAATGATAATTCATCTCACTAAGTTTATTTCCCATCTGTGTACCGTTACCTTTTTAATTTTAGACCTAGTGGATTCTAATCATCCCTTAGTAGTAGCCTATAGAAGGTGATTATATAAGCAGGTTTACATTTGTCTCATCAGTGCTATTCTACCATTAATTCTTATCCCTTTTGGTAAATAGTAAACTACAAAGCAATTGCCAGCAATCTGATGCTGGCAGCAGTCAGTCCCCTCACCTTCCAGAGATGCCCATGGTCTGATCCTACAAGCATCTACCCAGATGAAGATGTGGTGGACCAAGTGCTCCAGCTGAGCACAAATAATTTTTTTTTGTTTCAGGAGAGCGAATTAACAAGCTTGATCTCTTAATATTGTTAGAAAGCAAAGCGTGGCTTCACCTGCACATCCCAGACTGCCTGAAATGTTGACAAGCCCAGCTCCAGCCAGTTGCCTGACCACAGGTGTGAGGTGTCATCTGGGATTCTTTCGGGTACCGGGAAACCTGCCCAGAGCTCGCAGAGGCCACAGGCCTGTGGAGAGTCCGCTGCACGGGAGCAGAAGCCGAAGGCCCCGCGGCCTGCGCTCCCCAAGGCGTGAGGCACCTCTCCCCGCACCGGCCCTGCACCTCATGGCCTCCCTCCGAGACAACCGTCCCTCGGGGGACACCTGAACGGCCTAGATGGCACTGGGGGGGGAGGGGAGGGGGCGCGGAGTTGCAGGCGGACACCCGCCGCGGCCTCGCCGCTGCTGGCGGGACTTCCGCGGGGGCTGCGCGCAGGACCGCGCGGTCCGCTCCGCGCTGACGGGGACGCGCGAGGGCGGCAGGAGACGTGCGGCTGGCGCCCGGTAGGGGGCGCTGCGGCCGCCCCGCCCCGCCCCTCCCCAGCGGCTGACAACGGAGCGGCGCGAGGGGCGGAGCCGTGGGCCGCCTCGCAAGATGGCGGCGCCCCTGGACATGGATCCGCCAGCGATCAGTCTGGAGCTGCTCCCCACCGACCCGCTGCTGCTCATCCTCAGCTTCCTCGACTACCGGGATCTGATGAGGTACGGGTCGGGGCTGCGCTGTGGGAGGGGAGGGCCGAGCCCAGCCTCGGAGCGGGGTTGGGGGGAGGCAGCGCCGGGCCGCGGGGCGGAGCGGGGCTGAGGGGGCCGGCGGGGCGGGAGGGCCCGGCGAGCGCTGCCGGGGAAGCCGGGGCCGGTTGCTGGGGTGAGCGGGGAGCGGGAAGAGCCGGCGGGTGAAGCCCGTGGGAGGTGGGGGGGAGTCAGCCTGCCGCTCCGGGAGCTGCCGGCTGCTCGGGGTCACCCAACTTTTTGGTGCGGGGTTGGCTGTGCTAGCGAGCAGGCTCGGGGGGAGCGGGCTGGTACCCGCACAGCGGGCAGGGCGCTCCCGGGGCGCTCGCCGCCGTGTAGGAAAAGCGTTTGGCTTGTTCTGGAGGAGCTGCAGTGTCGGGGACATCTAAAGCGCCGTTCCCTTCCAGAAACAGTGGCGTTCTTAGGGGGGGGTTGCTTTTTTTTTTTTTTTTTTTTTTTTTTTTTAAGCAAAAAGAAATATTCTCTGGCTTTCTCTCCCCCATTATACATTGTTCTTGTTTCCAATTTTTAGAGATCAACCAATAGCTGTATTTGTGAAGTCAATACTTCTCTGAAACTGTTGTGTTTCTATGGGCAAACAAAGGGCGGTCTTGTTGCCAGCAGATATATTCAGTTGTCTGAACGAGCTGTTGTTTGAGGAAAACCAAACGAAATAGGATGACTTTTGAGGTGGACAAACACGAATAAAAGCTGTGAGCTCCTCTTGGACGCTTTACTAGGTGGCTGAAGAGTTATTAGTCATACAGTGAAAATGAGAGTATGTTTTTAGCTAACACCTTACCAATGGGCTACAAGCACTGGCAGTGATTGAAATCACAGTGTTTAGTCAAAGAGGGAGGAATATGTATGAATATAACTGAGTATTATCAAAATGGGGTTTGTTTGGTTTTTTTGCCCTCATGAATATTAGTCAAGAAGGCTGAAGATATCAGGGAGAATTCTGTTACAATAGCAGCAAAAAAGAGATTAAGTGTAAGCAAAAATGATAACAATTGTTACAAGTACAGTATGGATGATTTAGTAGTAGTTGCTAATGGTGTAGTAAAAGCGCTACCTGTTTTTGCTATATATTTGACAAAATGAGATGGATTTTGCTGCGCAAGGATAACCAAATACTGTGTAGGTTTCTTATAAATAAGGTCAGTAATGTCAGTTTTGCATAATTGGCTGTAATTCTCAAAATGTTAATTGAAGAAATCTCTAGTTTGCTTACATTTGTTTTAGTGACATGTATATACTCTGACCATTGCAAACATTACAGTTTCCCTAATATTCCCCAGGTTAGTTAGCTATTTAAGGGTTAGTTAGTTAGTTATTTAAGGGTGGTAGCCCTTAAATAATGGAAAAGCTGACAGGTGACCAAATATTTATGTAATTAATGAGAATGGCTTTAGTTGCATCTTTGAAGCCACGTGTTTCTCTGATGCCATGATGATGGCTTTCCTACCAAAAATTACAGGCTTTGTTGATAAATACCAATATAATAGATTTCTGCAAGGACTTTGACTTTGGGGTATTTCTGTTGCAGCCCCATCAGAAAAAAATAATTAAAAAAAATCCCTGTGTCAGGAATTAAGTTCTTGCATGGCCACATGTCAAGGTTTGAAGTGAATGTGTTTATGTCTTTGTGTTGTTGTAGGGTGGGGAGAGTAATGGCAGGTTATATGGGAGAATCACTTTGTTGGGGTTGCTTTTGAAATAATAATACATTTCTAGTTTAAACAGCTTACAATGGATATTGGGGAGAAAAAAAAAAAAGATTGGATTCTGTAGTTTCAGTGCAAGATGTTTTTACCAGCCTTGGACTTAGACTGATTTTACTTATCAAAGATGTGATCAAGAGGCATCTTTATTTCAGTATGTAACTATGTCCATCTACACTGTTGATCAGTCTTACTTACCAATTTCTGAATTGCACTGAAAAAAACCTAAAAAGCAAAAAAAAAAAAAAAAAGTAATTAGAAGCTTAAGCTTGCTAACCTCATTTGGGGTATTTAGATGTTAACCACAGCCATTCAAACACACATATTAACTGTTAGAACAAGCTACCAGAGGAAATGATGTTACCACATCTAAATTGGTGGTATCTTTTGGGGAGTTTCATTAAAGCGTAACTGATAATTCAACTCAAACACAGAAGATAAGGGGTTTATTGTTTGGTTTCAGGTTTGAGTGAGTCAATAAATTCTTTTAAATTCTGTGAATCATTGAATAACACAGTCATTCCCCGTATTACTGCTCTGCATGTTGCTGATGCTTTACTGCACATACTTATTCATATAAATACACTGAAATGTCTTGTCAATACCAGATGTACATTCCAGAAAGGCTTTATAACTGCAAAAGTAAATATGGGAACAGATTGTATTTGACAGCACCTCCATCACTGCTTTTAAAAAGTGAGTGAATTAGACATCAGGAATATAGGTTAGCTTTTGCTATCTCCTTGCATCAGGCCAGGATCAACTTAAATGACTTCTGTGGTCAGTTTTAGACCTATATCCTACAGGGTTTTTTAATACTGCATTTGCAATAGTCCTGTATAGTGCAGGATATGGTTCTTTTAACTTCTTGAAGTATCAAGGTTACCTGTAATGCAATGGCAAGAGCTTATGTATGGTCTTCATTAGAGTGAGCTTGGAGTACTTATTTTCAGGTGTGTCATCCTTTGTATTTTTCTTGTGTCTGTCTTTCTGATCGTGAAGTTTAAATAAAAAACAGCTTAAAGTGGAAAGTAACTTTCCAATACTTAAACTGTGTAGTTTCTGTATCTTATTGAGTTTTCAGCAGTACGGAAACAGTGGAAAAGGTAGAGACAGACAATCCAGATAAGAAAACAATTTCAATTATAATAATTAGCCTGTGCTACTGGAATGCTTACAGCTGGTGGAGTGGAGTCATGCTGAAATCTTTCAGACAATGTTTACAATGGCATAGGGCTACATGATGACCTGCTTTACAAAATTACTTAATTGCTGACAGTTCTTGAAGTATATGGAAAAGTAGTTCATAACTTATACAGCTGTAATTAAGTCTTTTAACCATTGTAAGCACAACTCTAAAAAGGACAGCTAACTAACTTTCAAACTCTGCATTTATATCATGAGAAAGCAGTGTGTAATATCCTGGTCAGTATTTATCCCTGTTTATTTTTCTACACTTTTGCAATCAAATGTAATTATTTTATGTTTATAGTTGCTGCTATTTAAGTCGAAGATTAAATCAGCTATCAAGCCATGATCCATTGTGGAAAAGACACTGCAAGAAATACTGGCTTATTTCAGAGTAAGTGTGGTTGTTTTAAGACTTTTTTCCTATTAAAATACGGCTTATGTTATTTGCTGTCTCTTTATGTCAATGTTCTAATAACTCTAAGATTGAATTGGTATTCACCAGTTTCAAACCAGTGAAAAGTTAGAGGTATCAGAAATGTTAATTTCCTAAAAAAGCTTCATGAATGTACAAGTGTTAAGTTTTTTGGAAATGTAGAGAAGAGGTGCCCTGATAATGCCTAGGCTGAAGGAGAAGCTGCAGCTTCACCTTGTCAGATACCAGATGTTCTATGGAGGAAAGCAATATTCTGAGTACTGTAATTATGAAGGATACAATTAGATGGTTGTGTCAAGGGTAGCCATGGCTGGAATCACAGAATAGTTGAGGATCTCAAAAGGTCCCTTCCAACTTCTAGTCCAGCTCCCGTGCTCACACAGGGTCATGTGTAGCAGGTTGTCCAGGACTGTCCAGTGTCCTGTCAGTGGGCACTGCTGAAAAGAGTCTGGTTCCCCCTTTATTCTTTCCCATCAGGTAATTGTACATATTGATGAGATACCCCTGAGTCTTCTCTAGACAGAAGAGTTTCAGCTTTCTCAGTCTTTCCTCATGTGAAAGATGCTCCAGTCCCATAATCATCTTTGAGGCCCTGCACTGGACTTGTTCCAGTACACCCATATCTTTCTTGTAGTGGGGAGCCTAGAACTGGTCACAGTACTCCAGATGTGGCTTCACCAGTGCTGACCAGACAGGAAGGATCACATCCCTTGACCTGCTAGCAATGGTTTTCCAAGTGTGGCCTAGGATACTGTTGGCCTTGTTTGCTGCAAGGGTGTATTGCTGGCTCATGCCCAGCTTGGTGTTTATGAAGATCCCCAGGTTCTTCTCAGCTGGTCTGCCCCCAGTGTCTGCTGGTGTCCAGGGTTATTCCCCTCCAGGTACAGAACTTCACATTTCACCTTGTTGAACAGAAGATTCTTTTCTGCTTTCTCTGGATGGCTACACAACCATCTGCTGTATCAACCACTTCTCACAGTTTTGTAGCATCTGCAAACTTTCTGAGCATGTACTGTCCCATCATCCAGGTCATTAATGGAGGTACTAAACCATATTGGCCGCAGTACAGAGCCCAGGGGTGCAGCACAAATGACTTTCCTCCAACTGGTCACCTTTTGGGCCTGGTCCTTCAGATAATTTTCAGTCCACCTCACTATCTTCTTACCAAACCTGTACTTTGTCAGGTTCTATGTGATGATACTAACAGAGGTGGTGTTGAAGGCTCCACTAAATTCAAGGTAAACAACATCTGTTGTTCTCCTTGTCCATCAAGTAAGTTACCTCATTGTAGGAGGCTACAAGGTCAAGCATCATTTCCCCTTTGTAAATCTATGCTGACTGCTCCTGATCACCTGCTTGTTTTTCATGTGTTTGAAAATGCTTCCTGGGGAGATTTTCTCCCTTATTTTCCCAGAGAAGTCATGTTGGACTGTGTGGAAAGTTTTACATACATGGTTTTTGAGGTGCTGTGTTTTTTCAGAAAGCTAACTTTCTGTCTTGCTTGCTTGCACTGAACTCAGGATGTCTGTTAAGTGGAAGCTAACAATAAATGTATCAGTCCCCATCTTTACCAAAAAAGCATGCTTTTCTCAAGCTGAGAAGTCTTGTGGAGTTGACCAAGGTGAATTAGCAACCAGTTTTGTTGCTGCTTAACCCCTTTTTCTGTCCTGTTTTCTAGTTATCTATCTTTTGAGATTGTAAATTGTGAGTACTAACTACTTATGACTTCAGTGATCAGTTCCATATCATTTCCAAACATGTAGTTTGTAATCTACATTATATCATACAACTATTAAAAATTAACAGCAAGCAGGGTTGGATCCACAAAGATAAACATACTGTACATGCAGCTTATGAAGATATAACACAACTTGTAAAATTTGGCCTTGAGATTCTTTGCATAAAATTCTTAAGTGATATTCTTACTAGAATCCAAACTAGAAAGGAAAATCTGATGGGAGTTGGGAAAAGAAGGTAAGGAAATGTGAAATTCAAACTGAGTAGCTGGTGCTTTAGAAGAGGAACTTGGCGTGTGTGTCGGGGAAGGTGAGAGAGGTTACAGGGCTTTGCTAAGGAGAACTGGCTCTGGGTTGTTCTCCGAGATGCTGGCTTCTCCATAGCCAAGAAAAAACTGAGTAATGAATGCTGTAGATAATTTCTACATAAAACATTTGGGTGGTGAAAATATGCTGAAACTTCTGTCACCTGCTGAGACATAATTCACTTTGGTTGCCTTTTTTTTTTTCCCTTATCTCTTTGATTTGACATCAGTTTATCTAACTTCCCAAATTAATCTACTTGTTTCACCTGAACTCTTCTTGAAGAAGTGAGGTTCTTCTCTCCTTTTTAGAGCTAGAGAGACCTTAAAGGTGATCTAAAGACTTCTCAATTGTTACATTTTCATTTAGGCATAGGAAGCTGTACTGAGTCTTTTAGATTCAGGATGCTGACTGGAGTTTGAGGAGTTGGAATATATCCTCATACAAATATGCAAGGGCTGCTACGACTTGGAGGCAAACATGCTTTGTCAGATGTTAGTCAGCACTTTTTTGGCAGCCTGTCTTCCCATAGCCTCATGTTGTGCTTGTGAGGAGAACAATATGCAGTCAATTCCTTAAGAAACTGACTTTCCAGATCAGCTCACACAGTTCTCGTTTAATTTTCTGGTTTGCTCTTTAATCCTCCTTACTGGGTAAATAAAGGAGTTTGTGACTAATGCAGTAGACCAAATAAATGTGTTATGGTTTTGCTTTTTTTGTTGGTTTTTTTTTTTTTTGAAAGCCTTCTTTCTGTATGTGTGAAATGTGATGTGAATTAGCTACTTACCAGTTCTAAGATGTAGTAATAGACAGCACTCTGTTTAAAGGAATACTGTTTCTAAATTTTCCCCTGACACTAGGTACCCCAAATGTTTTCTAATTTTTTCCCAAGTTGCTGTTGAATGGATGCTGGAATTAATTGAGTTTGTGTAGCTTCACATGGCTCAAAGTGTTCCTGGCTTAATGTTATTCATACTGTTTCTGCCAAATAATAAATATTAATTTAGTGGGTTTAGGAGTCAAGCTTTTTAGGCTGGTATTTAAACTTATTTTCTTAATTTCCACTTAGAGAGGAAAAATGTCAACGAAATCAGAGCTGGAAGGCCATCTTCATCAGTACCTACTCTGACCTGGGAAGATACATTCGATACTATGCTGCATTGAAAAAAGCCTGGGATGACCTAGAGAAATACTTAGGACAGTGGTGTCCTCGGATGATTGGTTCTTTGAAAGGTATAGTGTAATACCTGCTTTCTCTGGCAAGTTGACTGATGTGACGTTGTCTGTTACTAAGTTTAATACTGCTTTCATCCTGGGTATGTGCCTCTGTTACCAGAGTCCTGAAAGTCAAATAGATGTGATTTCCCTTCCCCTCCAGTAAATAAGTAAATCAGACCACATGCATAGTCCTTCACCAGTTACTAGTGATCCATAGATTCTCTGAAGATTTCTTTTCAGAGAAGAAATCAAGATTATTTTTTTCTAGTGATCAGTCTGTTGTCAATATATCTGGATAATCATCAAACAAACACATTTTTACTGCTTTTATCTTTGGTTGCTATGACTGACTTTTTTTCTTCGTTTATTATTATTGTTTGGTTTAATAATCCCATTACTTCAAGGACCTGGGACCTGCTGGTGTGATTTTCTTTGAGATTTTCTTAAGACCTAATTAAAACACTTTCACATGAAAACAGACATTTTCAACTAAAATAAACACAAAGGAAATGTGTAGCGTTTTTTTCCTCTTCTGTATGTTGTACTGTATTCCTCTAATGAAGGTAAATTAGTGGCTGAACAAGGATCCTTACCTTTTTTTCTTTCAAGATTCTTTTTTTCAAATTAAATTTGTTTTAGTACTTGCTGTATGCCTTGTTGGGTAAGATTTATGAACCAGAACACTGGAAACACTGCAAGTTTGGTCTTTTCTGGTACAGGACAAAATAGCATCTACATTTTCAACTGCACTTCAGTCTTCTGTATGAAATTGACTGTTAGACCAACATGTTTGATTTAACATGATCTGTGAAATTAAGAGAAATGTGTAGATAAATGATCTCTTCCTACGTAAATCTTACCTGTTTCTTGGCTTGCTGGATAGTGCCAGATTCTTAACTTTTGCTAAGTATTTGTGAATAACAGATCATTGTTAGAATTTAATACTTACTTTTTTTTTAAAGAAAACAATTTTTGTTTTGTTATTTCTGAGTGAAGGCCGGAAGGGTTATATGTAACCTGAACCCTTGTGTAATACTGGCCACAGTACTTTTTGTAGATACCCATGACTTGATTTCTGTAACTTTCATGCTGTTCTATCAAAAACAGACTTCACTCGGGTATACAGAATGACTGAATTGTCAGTCAAATATTATTAATGAAATATTTATTAATAAAAGTATTTATTAATAAAATGGGAAGTATCCGTGGTGGTGTTGAACAGATTTTAACACAAAAAAAAATCAAAATCTTCCCAAGAAATTTGGTGCAATGAAGCCTCTCTTTGTCTGTAAAAAGACAAAAATAAATTTAAAAGTAGCAATTTCCACACTTACATAGTGATGACAGGTTTGATCAGGAGCTCCTCCATTATTCACACTTTTTAAATACCATTTGTACAGAATCTTGTTTCAATTAATTGTTAAATTATGCCATATAAATGAAATGGATAATGAATATGAAAAGGGTTTTAAAAAAAAAAAAATCACTCAAAGCTTTGATTGGAACAGACCACACAGGCCACCCAGTTGATCTTTGCTAGAAGTGAGGGTGTGGAAACCCCCTGATGTGTGTGCGGAGGTGTAAGAGTGGTTACTCCCCACACTCTTCTGTTGATGATATGAAAATCCCCCTGTTACAACACATTGCTTTGAATTCTGGGTAAATGGTGGCTGCAGCCAACATTTCTTTGTTACTGAGTGGCCTGGAAACTGAAAGAAGCGACCCTTAGAACGATGAAAGTGTAAAATCAGTATTGCCTAAAAGTTTTAACTGGGACTTAGTCAGCTGATCACAGTATTGTGGGGAAGAGGTTCATTTCACTGGATAAATATTTTCTGCGTAAGTCAATCCTGTTGAGATTTTGTTGAATGGAGATTGGTGCTATATTAAGTAATCAGTTAATATAATCATCTTCCTTTCAAATTTCTGTAGTATTCATTCTGTGCCACCTAGTATACAATAAAGTCACCAAATACTGACTTCAGTACATGTTCGTTTGATTAAGGCACTTACAAATTCCATGCTTTCTATTTTAAATACTTGATTTCTAGCGATTCTGGCCACTAGCGTGAATTTAATGTAATGGAAGATTCTTGAGACTGTGCTAGTAGACAGCTGCATCCCAAAGTTGAACTGACTTTATCTTGCTTTTGGATGTCTGTTAGTTCACTTCCTCTGAATTATAAGTGGCAAAATACTTTGAAGTATATATTCCTTTTGTGATAATACAAAAGAAGAATCCGTAATGCTGATGTTTCTGGGACTATTTAAAATTCTTTTTGACAGTTGAAAACATGCTGTTATGTCTAGAGCGTAGCTAGTTTATGCCTTATTTATAGCCATGCAGCTCTGATTAAATGATGTGAAATAAAAATTTAAAGGAGAGGTCTTAACACAAATTCTAATATTCACCTTTGTCAGGAACAGCATACTGGGCACTATGGGGCTGAGTAGTGAAGCAGCATTAAATTTGAGAGTTTTGTAGGAGCAGAAGTTCTTGATTTCCCCCCTCCAAAACTGCCACTTAATACTCTGTTTCTTTTTGTACACAGAGAGCGTGCGGGAGGAAGATCTAGATGCTGTGGAAGCACAAATAGGTTGCAAACTCCCTGATGACTACCGATGTTCGTTTCGTATTCATAATGGACAGAAGCTAGTTGTTCCTGGGTAAGGAGCAAAAATTATATACTAAGTTATTAATTCCTTTTGTATTTCTTGGATAGTTTGTTTATTAAAAAGGTAAAATGTCTACTGAACAGGGTAAATGGTAAATAAAGCATTTAAATATATTGTAACTGAGTGACCCCTTGAAGTGAAACTTCTAGAATTGGCTATCTTCTAGACTCAGAAGTAATTGAAAACACAACGTAGATTTCTAATTAACTCAAATTACTCTTACACTTCAGTCCTTTTTTGTAGTGAGAACTCCCTTTTAGTTATTACTAAAAACCAAAAAACTTCCAACTGTTAGACTTTTAATAATACCACTACAAGTTGCTCCCTTGGAGTTTTGTTTTGTATTACATAAGGAAATTAGCCTGTTGCATTCTTCAGGCTTCGTTATTTAATAACACTTTTCTTTAAAATGTTTAGGGAATAACTTTCAAACCAGCTAGTCATTTTAAGTAGAATCAAAATGTCAGTTCTGCACATTAAGTTTTCTCACTAAATTTTACAGTTTTATGTAGTTTCAGCAAATGAAAACTCCCTTTACATTAAGGTTAGAAGACAGATGGCCAAATATAGTTTCCTATCTTCCAGCTATAGAAAAAGTTAGCAGGTCAGCACTTGAAGCGCTGCAAACGTTAGCAAAAGATGGAAAGCTCTGGCAAATCACTGCAGTGTCTGGAGAAGGGCAATGCGTTCACGTTACTCTACCAAAACCTTTACCACACAGTAAAGAAGGTGCAGCTTTCTCCAATTCTAGTGTTCTGTGTGCAGGAGGGTTATGGGAAACAGTTTTATGTAACCATAAGGATGAGTTCCAGTTCTGTTTTGTTTCCAGGAGAGACTTTTTTAGACAGGAGATAGATGCCCTAGTTCTATAGACTTAATATGGAGCTCTGCAGGTTGTGTGCTTCCTGCTTTTCCTACTACTTTTTCACTCCCACAAAGCCTCTAGTGTGGTGATGTGCCTGTGGAAGGGCTGTGGGAGCAGACATACACCCTTGGGCACGCCTTTCAGCTTGTACAACTCTCTGTGGGCTGTGGTCCAGCCCTGTGCCCTCAAAGCAATGGCCTGAGCCTTACAGGTTGACAAACTGTGTTGGTAAAGCACTGACTGGGGGACTAGTTAGGTCTGATGGGTGGGACCCTGGAGCAAGAAAAGCTGCCACACTGAGTGGAAGGTGTGGTCTTGCTGTTGGGGACAGGCTTGCTTTCTTGTAGGAGAATAATATTGGAAAGATTAGGCATAGGCAGGGGAAGTCTATGCAGAAAGCTGTTGGCATGTTACATCAGAAATGGAGGGGATTCAGGTTTCTGTGTTTGGATGTTAACATTGCTTTTTAAACTGTAGAACATGCTAATTCCAGGCAAGACTGCTTAAGGAAAAAGAGGAATGGAACCTGTTGCCCAAGATGGGAGCAGCTTATATCATGCTTACGTGTGGCAGCTTGTGCCTGAGTCATTGCTTTCATAACACCAGTAAAAGCTTAGCAGCTGCAAGAGTTCACATCTGAGAATATCAGTGAAAGGCAAATTAGAAGGGAGTATGGGCAGGGAGGAGGTGTACATTACAGGTTTGTGTACTCTTATTGCCAAGTACACTGCTGTATTGTGTGCCCTTGTAATAGATAAATATGATGATGTTACCCCTTTTTATCATTCTTCCGTTGTCTGACCCTTTATTACATTGAGCGTAGGTTGCTTTTTTTTTGATTTTCACCCTAGCTTTCATCTAGCCCAACATTCATATCAACCTTAACTTTAGCTTCTGATGCTCATCTCCATTCCTGATCTGTTACACGTTTCAGACTAGTACTACTTTTTTCCAAACATATATTTTTTTCTTATGTGTAGAGAGGCTCCTTTTAATGTCTTCAACATCACTTCCTTAATGTCAAAAACAAACAAATGAAAGATCTCGTCCTTAGTGTGATGCTTACAAAAAGCTAGAGGAAAAAATGGCAGTTGATGGTCATGCTGTGTCATGCTGGTGAATATTGTCTCATTCTTTCCTTGTATGTCTGTTTAATTGAGATAATCTCTCTGATTCAATGGTTATTTTGCTTGTTTACTTCTCAATCTTTTTTCCAAAACAGAGCACCTTGCTCAATGTAGTTTGGATCAATGACTGTTACTATAGTGGCTTGGTTTTCTAATTGAAAAATAATGGATGCTTTGATAGTATTGAAATGAACTTGCACAGATCTTGAGGTACGGTGCACTGGTTATTACTCTATTATGCTGCTATAGAAGGATGTGTTGGCTGTGAATGGCGGCTTTGAAGTAGTTGCAGACATGACAGGAATCACCAGCACAGTTAAAAATGGTGGTTTGGAATGCACAAAACGTACAAGGAAGTGTTTATCTTGGAGCCATCAAGCCTCCCTTTGTGAAGGTTGATGTTGCAAACTAGTAACCTTGTTCAGCACCTAGATATTAGACTAAATCTAAGTCTGCATCTAGGGCATTGATAGAATCAATGCACAGGAAAGCGTTAAAGCTATCTTTGCCTTGTGAGTGGGTATCTTCTGTTTTTCTTTCATTTTTTTTGTTATTGTCTGTTAAGTTTGATGGGAAGCATGGCACTATCGAACCACTACCGCTCTGAAGACTTGTTGGATATCGACACAGCGGCTGGAGGCTTTCAGCAGAGGCTAGGTCTGAAGCAATGCCTTCCTCTTACCTTTTGCATTCATACCGGCCTGAGTCAATACATGGCCCTGGAGAGTGTGGAGGGACGAAATAAATATGAGATCTTCTATCAATGTCCAGTAAGGAAGATATGTTTATACTTTTGAATGTACTTTTCTAATGATTGATGGTGTCCCTTTGCATGTTCCTAGACATCAGAAATATATGACATAGCAGAAAGTGAATAGTAAGAGATCATACTTGTTTTTTACTTGTCCCTCAGTTGCCATCTGTTTTTCATCAAAGCCCGTAAGTGGAATGGTTAATAAGTGAAAGAAATGTACATTAAAATGTTAATGGCTGTAGCAGTTTCTATAGGTTCATGATGGTGGACAACATTCGTCCTTATTGGAGGGTATCAATTTAATTTGTTAACACTATGGCAGGTACATACTCTTGTCTCTGTTTCTGTAAGGAAGAAGAGCTTCTCCATTATGGAAGATTAGTATTTGTATATAACTCCTCCCTTAGATATGTTAAATGTAAATTTAAAGCAATGAATGATACCCTCTGGTTTGTAAGCAAAACTTACTCTCCAGTGAAAGAACAAATTGCTCTTGAACAGCTCCTTTGTAGAACATAATTATTTGAGTATTTTTCATAATTGTTATAGCTGTAGTATTTTAAGATAGACATATTGTCACTAGTGAAGCTTAAGGATATTATACCTAAGAAGATTTTGGCCCCCTCTCTCCTTACCCATGCCCCCTACCCCACCCAAAAGAAAGCGGGGTGAGTAAAGGGTGTTTTTTTTTGTAAAAAAGATTGTGATCTTCATCCTGCTGTGGAGTTCCTGGCTGTTTTCAAAGCATGTAGCAATGAGATTTCTAGGGAATGCCTTGATAATGGATCACTTGAAGGATGTTATGAGATCCCCCTTTGTATTATGCCTAGTATTTAAACCTTTTGGATAATGCTTTGGAACATGGAAGGTTACGTGCTTCTATTTTGGTTCACCTGTGGACAGTCCTTGTTTCAGAAGAGAATAGTAACACAGGAACTGGAATTGTTTAGCCTGGAGAAGAGAAAGCTTAAGGGAATGGTATCAGTGTTTATAAATATCTGATAGCAGGGCATAAAGAAGTCAGAGCTAGAATCTTTTCAATGTGCCTGCCCAATGACAGAAGAGGCAACTGGCACAAATTGAAACACAGGAAACTTGATTTGGACATGCAGAAAAATGTTTTTGCTATGAGTGTGGTTGAACACTGGAGCCAGGTTACCTGGAGAGGTTGTGTAGTCTTTGTTCTTAGAGTGAGTAAAAACCCAACTGGACATGATCCTGAGCAAGGGGCTGCAGTTAACCCTGCCTCAGGGAGAGGGATTAGACGGATCATCTCCAGAGGTTTCTTCCAACCTGACCTGTCTTGTGTTTCTGTTCTAAGGCAATATTTTTGGGGACCTTGTTTCTTGAATGATGCATTAAATCTGATTTTATATGCATTAGCCTTAGTGGAATTTTTAAGCTGTATATTCAGTGATCATGTGAGTACTCACAGGGACAGACGTGTATGTTTTATATGTTTGATTATCTGACTGGGAGTATAATGATGTATTAAGCTGACAGAATTTTGGCTTAATGAATATAGGGAAAGTGTTCCCTATGTTATATATCAGGTGTTGAATTTGAACTTTGAAAGTCTAATGCTCTCCTAATATATCCATCAACTTTTTCCCTTCTAGGACCAAATGGCTCGCAATCCATCTGCTATTGATATGTTCATTACAGGTAACACTTTAGATAAAATATTCTGTGAAATGTTTTAATTGCACTGTTTGGAAAATGCATGTTAGTATGACCTGAACAAAGCAAGCGTTCCAAATTTTCTGTGCTACTTGTATGACTCTAACCTACTTTAAAACATCAGCGGTTACTTGAAATGAGATTCAAGTTGTCTCTATTAAAGTTTGTCCGTCTGTGTGTCTTGCATATAAATCATTCAGTGTACTAACCTGTCTAACAAGATGAGCAAAACCTTTAAGTTAGCCATCATGGGGTTGATGTAAGCAGTTATTAAATGCAACAATGAAGTGGACAGAAAGATGATTTTTTTTTTTTTTTTTTTTTTTCCCCCAGTAGTTTTTGCAACCAAGTTAGAAGTTGAAAATATTTTGCATCCCTTAATGAAATCTAATTAACTGTCAACATAGCTGCAGAGGAAAACCTTTTTGGACTGTTTGCCTGATTTCCTTTGTTCAGAGGTTAAAGGAGGGAAGGGGAAAACTGCATAACTGTATGGTTATCTAGTGATCTGTTGTGATCATCTGTCTGACACCTACGTTGGCTGAAATAGTGTTTTGATTAGTTCTTTTTGTTAACTAGTGGAATATGGTAATTGTGGCTATAACTGAATTCCTTTCACTGAGTGGGAAAACAGATGTGTAATAATAAATGGCACCAAAATTAGTATTAAAGTTTAGCCTTGCACATTTCTTAAGATATATTACATTGAAAAACCATGTTATGCAATGCTATACCATTGCTGATTTGGGTTGAAGGTAGTCACACTCTTAGCCACACTAATTTTAGGAAACTTTTCTATGTACTGATTGATTGTATGAACAGGTTTCAATATGAAGTAGTCAACTGTCATCTGTTTTATAAAGATCTTACTATAGAATGCATGTGTGTTTTAGAACAATCATAGGAAAGATATAGCAAAAGCTCAAGAGTTTGGTTACTTGTTTCTCTCCACTGGAGGATGATGTAATACTTGAAAGCTATTCTGAGGTGAATTGGTATTGCTGCTCAAGATTGCTATTGCTGATTTTATGGAATTGAGTCAATGGTGAGGTGATCTGACATCATATTAAATGTATTCCATTTGGCTGAAAGGGTTGATCTTGGATTGTCACAGGGTGGAGGGGAAGCTTAATATATAGTATTTATCTTGTCATTTGGAAGGTAGCAGGGTAAATTGGTCCACTTTCTCCATTCGGAGTTACTTTATGCAAGGCTTGCATTTTGTGGATTAGTGGTACAGAGGAGGATAATAAACTTGGAGTTCCTTAGACTTCCAAAAGATCAAAGGACAGTACATGAAGCTCGTGCTCTAAGGAAGAAGCAGTAAGTAAGCTTAATCTAACAGGAGTGGTAGTACTTGATAACCTGTCAGTGAAAGTGAGTATCATGTTTTCTTAGTATCAGCGTAAATCCAGTTTTATATGTGTAATATTGACAAACAGTCGAAGAACTCTCTACTTTTCTATTGAACTCTATATGGCAATGCTTGGAAGATTTATGGCTGAGAAATTATTTTAAGGAGAGCCAGTATGTCTTGTATGAAACTCTCTTCTTTGAGAGTTAAATGTGACAGCTTGACTGTCTACTTAGAAATCAAGCTGTTCCTAAATAATGGCTGTAGGTGTATCAAAAGCTGTTCTCAGAAAATAGCTGTAAGTGTATAAAAATACCTGGTTCTTCAGAATGACATGCAGCCTTAGTCTTCTGGGTCTGTAGCAGGAGTGTGAAGTATGTCTATGACTTATCCCTGGTTTTAAGGAGAGGGAAATTCTGCAACTTGCTAGCATGTTTCCTAGAAACTCTATTCATATGGAAACCTGGATATCAAAACTAAGTCCATAAATCCACCAGCAGGCTTGCATGCCTCTTGTAGGTAGAACACCTGGAAATAGCTATATCAGTAGTATAGGCCGTTATACCTGTCTTCTTTCCCAGTCACAGCAGGACAGTCATGAGCAGGAAACCAGTTGATGAGAGACACCAGCATTTGAAGACTGTGATTATAAAGTGAAATACGTAACTAAGAGATTCTTTGTTTGCTGTGGCATTTCTGGAGTAAGCAGCCTTAACTCTTAGTTCTTGGTTGGTTTCTCCAAATGATCTTTGTTGTAGAATGGACTGGAATATTGACTGATTCACCTAAGTAAGTCTGAGAGTTTATTATAAAAATATTCAAAGCTTTAAACTGTTTCCTTGAAGTATTTATTATAATGTGCTGAGTGGTAAATTTGCCTGTCCTTATGAATACTGTTCTTCTTTGGCATCTAGGTACATCTTACTTGGAATGGTTTACATCCTATGTAAACAAAGTTGTAACTGGTGGTTATCCTATCATCAGAGACCAGATTTTCAGGTATTGTGACTGGGATTTATAACCTCATTGTAAGGTTTTGATGCTCCTTTTAGAATGCTGACCTCTTTCCAAGTAGTTACGGGTATTTGATACAAAAGCTGCTGGTGGAGAGAGGAGAAAGCACATGAAGATAAAGTTGTAAAATGGAATGCTTAAAGAAACTTTTTTTTTTTCCTACTAGAAGCTTCAGAGTTTGTAACTTTGCATTAATGGAACCAGAATTTTGCATTGTAACTGATGTGAAGTTTATCTAACAGCATATTTATTCTGCTTGCCATGAGTGTGCTGCTGCTGCAGGACTCTTCTGAGTTACTAAAATAACAATTGTTACAGTGAAGTCGTCTCTAAAATAAACAGGACTTGTTCTCGTGTTTGCATCTCCATGCACTTTTAATTTCTTATAAGAAAGAACCTTAATTCTGCCAAACTGGGATGCTCTAGAACCAAGGTCCTGATCTGTAAATTAATTTGCTCTAGGAATTTCTAGTTTTTGTTCTTTAAATAGCATAATGACACATCCTTATTAAACAAGTGTGTCTTCACTGACTTTGGATCAAATTATACACCTAGCTTAATACAAGCATTAATGGAAGTACAAAAAGATCCACAGCTCTAGGAGCTTAGGTGATGGGGAAGTATACATCATAAAGACACTGCACACGTACATCCTTTATTTAACTGCCCAATGAAAAGCTAAGAATTACTTTTAACCTAGCACTGCAGTGTTCTTATTAGTAATTAGCTAATCACTTTACATGTTCAGTTTTCTGTATGGAGTGTAAAGAGCTATTTGCAGGGTTAAATGTTCTCTTTTCTGTAGGTATGTGCATGATAAAGAATGCGTTGCTACCACGGGAGATATTACTGTTTCTGTGTCCACATCTTTTCTACCTGAACTCAGTTCTGTCCATCCACCGCATTATTTCTTCACTTACAGAATCAGGTAAAAATAACAACTGAATTAACTCTTTTAACACAGGAAAAACCTGTGTAGTGTTTAAAGCATCGGTTATTGCAGATTTATGCACAGCATTCAAAAACGTTCTAAAATGAATAGAATGTGCACAACATGCTGTACTTTCTAATAAAAAAAATCTAGATCATTACCCTAGTCAGGTATGCAAAGTACCAGTCAGGTTGGTAACTAGTAAAGCACAGTGGTGGGTGGGGGAAAGAAGTAGCTCTTGTGATTTAGAAAGGGATAATTATCAACAGACAGTGAAGCAGAGGCAGGGAGCTGGAGCCTGACAACTGGTTCAGTATACTTTACCTTAGTGGGTTTTCTGGCTGTTGTGGTTTAAACCCAGCCGGCAGCCAAACACCACACAGCTGCTCGCTCACCCTCCCCCACCCCAGGGAATTGGAGAAGTAAAGATAAGGAGACTTGTAGGTTGAGATAAAAACAGTTTAATAACTGAAATAAAATAAAAACATAATTATAATAGTAGTAATGAAAAATACAAACAAATCATGCATACTGTGATTGCTCACCACCCACTGACCGATGTCCAGCCTGTTCCTGGCTGGTAATCCCAGAGAAGAGAGAATCCTGAAACCACAATCCCACAAGGCAGAGTGAGCTTCCCAATCCACTCTCCTCTATACACTGAGCGTGAAGGTACAAGATACGGAATATTCCCTTGGCCAGTTTGGGTCCGTTGCTCTGGCTCTGTTCCCTCCCAGCTTCTTGCGTACCTGTGCACTACCAGGACATGGGAGGTTGAAGTCTTTGATTTCTTAGCAGCCACAAAAATCAGTTTAAAAATCAGTTTTAGCACATTCTTTTCATATCAAATCCCATACTGAATCCAAAACACAGCACTACTCTAGCTACTAAGAAGGGAAACAAACAAAAAAAAAATCTGTCCCAGCTGAAACCAGGACATTTGCCCAGTCTATTTCAAGAAAGATCTGAAGAACACTAAAGCATTTCTTAATGTATGAAAGTAGTTACATAATCATGAAGTATGCTGTTTGGCTTCTAGAATTGAAATGTCCAAAGATGCTCTTCCTGAGAAGGCTTGTCAGCTGGACAGTCGATACTGGAGAATAACAAATGCCAAAGGTGATGTAGAAGAAGTTCAGGGTCCTGGAGTAGTTGGTAGGTAAAAGATTATCTTTACAAACTCAAAAGTGTTGCTTGTATTTAATATATGTGTTATGAAAGTTATGTTGTTAGCCATTCCTCATGGTGACAGAGGGTAGTAGTTTAATGGTTTGTATCAAAATTATTTTGTTGCTTGATAGAAAGGGATGTGTATCCATCTAATTTGTCTTTAAAGTTGTTTTGCAAGGGATGTCTGAATATCTTGATAGTTCAGCGTTCTTCAGACAGTTTTTTAACACCAGTAGTTGATGAGAATCATTTATACATCCACTGGAATATAAAATGATCTGCCTGATTATGTTGTGGAGTGCAAGTGCTTTAGCAAACAGCTAAATTGTAATTCTACTTCAGTCTTTACTACTGCAATCTAATATTTTACCAACAGGGGAGTTTCCAATTATCAGTCCAGGGAGAGTCTATGAATATACCAGCTGTACTACGTTTTCCACAACATCTGGATATATGGAGGGGTATTACACCTTCCATTGCCTCTACTACAAGGACAAATTCTTTAACGTCACAATCCCCAGATTTCATATGGTGTGTCCAACATTCAAGGTGTCTACAGCACGAATGGTAAGTGAAGATGCAGTTGTGCTTATCTTGTTTGGGGTTTTGTGTTTTGTTTTGTTTTTTCCTGACCTCCTGTTTTCTGAGAGCTTGGATTAATTTTAATAGGACTTTAAACTTCCATGTCATGTCACTTTTCAGTTTTGGTTCTTTTCTTGAAAGTCACTCTTTCTTTCAGAACAATTTCTCAAAAGAAGAAATCTAAAAGTATCACTCAGTCTATATGAATTCTTTTTAGCTTCTGGAATGTTTATCAATAAGAAAATGCTTCTGGTGCAAGCATTACAGTACTGAACAGTATTGATATTGAAAGCTCCATACAAAGCACACACCAATTAAGCCTGATTCTAGCAACTGTGATAATCTTTGCAGTCAGTTTGTAAATGGGTGAAGCCCTGTATCCTCATTGCTTTGACATGTAATGCTCAGGTCAACTCAAGACCCTCAGCCCTAGCTTTCAGAGGACACCCACCATATGTGGCTGCAGGTCTTCCTCCTCAAGTCCTCACCTCTGTCTGGTGTCAAGGTCCAACCTGGTTGTGTCAGAGAGATCTGGGGCCCTGTGGGTTCTCGACAGAGGTAGAATGTGACCATTCTGTTGTCCTGTGTCTGAACACAACTGTCCCTTGGGATGCACAGAAATGTGTGTGCATATATATGTCTGTTCAGGGCATATTTCAGAGTTCTTAATTTGTACCTAGAAACATAGCAGGGCATTAGCTGTTTGGATTTTATAGTTCTTTTAAATATTCCGCCTTGGTATGACCACACTTGTCAGTTTTAGCCATAATAGCCTATCTACTTTATTCAACAAGAAAAGTTTCAGTTAATGACAATTTTAAAATGATAGCAGTTTGTACAGTGTTTGTTAGTTCTCACTGAAAGTGCATGTCATAAAGTTACTTAATGACTTCACAAATCAGTTTTAGCTTGCGCTTAATTATAATGTAGTTTTAGTTCTGACATTTCAGGTTAACTATATAACTCCTGTCTTTGGCACGTTTAGAGAAGAATGCTTAGTTTATTTTATCACTAGCATAGCCTTTATTTAGTGACTGATTCGCATAGAACATGAAAGTTTTTGTCCAAGCACCGAGTCTTTCCTCAGGTGTTGACATCTACTTGCACACTTTCTCATGTTTTTCCAGGGATTTGAGACACTTGTTACCAATAGCTCTAACAGAAAGTGCCAGCAGATGTCATGCTCCTAACAGAAAATGGCATCTCTTAACTCTTGCTCACATTTATGGGAGTTGTAACCTTCCATACAGTTGACTGTAGAAATATTTGCTTTTCTCTTTTGCTCTACCTCTGTTTTTAAAGGTAGTAATGACCCTTTGTTTTAAACTACTTTTACTAAAAGACAAAAGCTGCCAAGAAAACGAGTACAGCTGAGATACTGAATTGTGGCTTTACTTAGTTGTAGATATGAAATAGTGAAGGCTAATGGATATTTACTGAGTTAAAGGTTAAGTGGTTTGGCGAAATGATTAAACCTTGTAATTGTAAGGAGCTGGTTTTAAGACAATAGGGTACAATGTCTGCTTCAGCTAGTTGATGTGATAATACAGACTTCAAATGTTTCTAGGTAATTGGTAGTGATTTCTTACAGCTAGCTGGAATAGCAGATTTTCATTAAATATGGATGTGTTTTGTATTAGGAAACAAATCATAATGAATATGCAGTGGATGAAGATGAAGATTCCACAGACACTGATGAATATGAAGATCGACGTAGAGTATTGGACATTCCTGCACCTTCTGGACGCTGCCCACGTCATACCTGATGAGATTTTTTTTCAAAACAAAATACTCTTTTCAGAAGCTGAACTCCTTGGGGCTAGTGCATAAGAATATTTCTGACTATTGTAAATTAACTTTTTGCTGCACATCAGGGCAACTAGCATGAATGTTGGTGCCAGTTCTAATATTCATCAGAATATAACTTTTTTCTGGTTTGGAAGTGGGGTGGGGCTTGGTGTGGGGGAGGGAGAGGAAGAGAAAGGTGTTTGGGCTTTGTTCACTTTTTTCTGAAGTGCGAAACAGCTTGATAGTCCGAGGTAATCATATCTTACATTTTTAAACTATTGCCTATTTATGATCATATTGCGAATATGGTGTGGGGATTTGTTTTTATACAAGCATTTAAAATTAGCAATAGGCAAGGTGGTGAAAAAGTGTATACTGGTGTCCTTTCTCCTGAGTTTCTACTCTTGATAACTCCTGCTAAGAATAAAACTTGCGATTTGGTCTGCGTATCCCAATTGGGTGAGATCAGGTGCTCTTATGCTCTTTTTTTTTTATTAACATACAAGTACCAGAAAATTCTGGTTGTCAGATGCATAACTTAGGAATGAAACTGGCCTTATTTTTGGACAATCTGTCTTTCAGCTTAATTTTATGCTAAGTAACTCTGATTGGATAATGCCTTTTGGAATGTAGTGCATATGCATAATCTACTACTCAGTAACCAAGAAATTTCTCAATGACTACAAAGTATGAATCTGTAAATAGTTTTTGAGGTTTTTTTCTTTATATGATGTTTGCTGTTCAGACTTTGAACAAATTTATGTTGAAGTATCATCTTCTCCTGAATCCTCTATGGATTTTTTGTAACTACGCCTGAATAAAAAAAGAAAAAAAAAAAAAAAAGAGCCTGACAGAACACTAGATGACTGGCAACTTTATATTTAAAGAACTATCTGCTTTATCACTTTGATTTTGTTTCCGTTGTCATTAATAAACAACTTAACTGCCTCCTTTGCTCTGAAATGCTACATGGGACTCTTCTTGCCAAGACTTGAGCAATAATTATGTGACCAGCATCGCTGCAGTCAGTTCTTCTTTTGGATGTCCAGAATTAGTAGCTCCTCAGAAGAAAACCAGTGTATTGTGGTTTCAACAGAATGTTTGTTACTGATGAGTTACTGCTCATACAGAAAGAGTGTTTTTTGGTTTGGTGTGTTGTTTTTTTTTTTTTTTTTTACAAGTCATAGTATTAGAGTCTCCATGTGCTCATCTTTCTGTAGTGCCACGTAGCATTTGGATCTTCCACAGTGGTACAGGGTAGAAAAAACAAATACTGAGTATGACCCCTACAAAAGAGAAGCAAAAAGCTTTGTGTTGTCCCTCACAGAAGTCTGAAGAGCAGTGTGAACTGCTGGAGTGGTTTGAAAACATTGCCTTTTTAGAATTCCTCAGTGTTAACTGTGAGGGAAGAATGTGATGTTTGTGGTGTAATGCTTTTTCTTCACTGCTGTAATCCTGTTTTGTGTTTTTAAGGAGAGATAACTCTTGGTTGGAGGCCTGTTTGGTGCTTCACCAGGAGCTGTATATTCTAGTTAAGTGATACCAGCTGAAGGTTGTAAGGCTCAATAGAAACACTCCCAACTCTTGGTGATTTTACTCTTGGCAGGCCATGGTTCTCCCTTGGTTGTGTGTAGAAGAAGCCAAGCTCGAGGACAGTGCTATTTTTGTCAGCTCCTGAGCACTGGGCTGTGAGGGGTTGAGGCCTCTGATCTAAGCACAGCCCGTGGTCACAGGACTCCTGCGAACCACGTGTGAACACAGTGAGAAGGTCAAGAGGCAGGGGGAATGGTGTGTTGCCGTTGTTGCACTAAACCTCTGTGTGTTTGTAACAGGAAAAAGGTTATGCTGTTGCTTCAGGCAGCTATCTTAGCCCGTGGCACATTGCCCAAAGCTACCAGATGCAGTGTTGCTGCAAGCGTCCTAACTCTTCATTATGTGCATCTGAAGCAGGGCTTACGCCAGTGGTTCTCACCCCACCCAAAACTGAAGTTTATGCGAGATGCTTATGGAAAGTGAAGCAGCCAAGGCTATTGAAGAAAACAAGGAGTCAGTTATGTTTGCCAGCACTGCTGTGCTGTGAAAATCTTCACTGAGAAAGCAGGGGAGAATTGACTGTTGGGATCCCTCTCGGAAGCCAGAGTGTCACCAGAGCTCACGCTGATTCAGCGCAGGGGTGTTGGGCAGGTTGTACTGGTACCTGCCACTGTGGCGCACCCAACAGCTAAATGCCTCCTGGGGTGGTTCCAATCTGCAGGTTATAACATTTATATATATATATAAAATATATATATATATAATGTCCTTCCCTTTGGCCGTGGTCCTTCAGGTTCAACCTGAAGTTCTGTCAGCTTCTTCTGGCTCAGATCCTGACTGATAGGGATGTTTGGTTAGGATTTCTGTCAAGGAAACCTTGTTGAACACCTATGAATTCAGCATCTGGTTAAAAACCTAGCACACCTCATGCGGAGATGTAATTAATCTAGTCCTTTTTTTATCAGTGAAAAAGGCCTACACCGACAGTCTCTTTAATTGCGCTGTAGGATTCCTTCAGCAGCTTTTGTGGGCTTTTGCTGACTGGCTGTTGTAATGGAGAGAACCTTTGGCTACCAGTTCCTTGCTGTGCCTGCATCACATGAAAGAAAAACAAGTGGTGTGCTACTCAGTGGGGGGGAGGAAATCATTGCTGTAATAGTTATTCCAGTACTGTGTTTTTTCTTTCCCCCATCATTGTTTAAAGTAATTTCTTATCAACTATGTGAAGAAGTTGGAAGTACCATTTATCTGTGAAGATACAGATAACTGTATCCTCTCTAGGAGGAACTGCTCCCAGTTCCTCAGATTTCAAGAAGTGAAAACAGGTAAATGTTCAGCTATGGCTGAAGTTAAGTTCCTTGCTCCCAGTTACTCATTGCAAAATTTTCTAAATGAATTAATAAATTAAGGATATTTTTTTAATATCAAGTCTTAATTGCATGGATTTTCATTGAATAAGTTGCATGCAATAGCACATATGCATCTTACATCCTTTTGCTTTTATTTATGACTTAAAGAGGTAAAATCTTAAAGACATTTATAAGATCGTATGCTGAGCTGACTGATAATCATCTTGGCTACTGTAACACACCAACAGACTCTGATGTAGAATCTGGGTGGTTTAGGGTTTTCTTCAGGTTTAATGAATAAATTTGCAATGGTGCTGTGGTAAGAAAAATGAATCTGGAGTACTTTTTAAAATACAACTGGTAGTTACAGGTATTTCATATTGTATTCAAGTCAGCATTCTTGGTTTGTTGTTTGGTTTGGTTTTTTTTTACTTCTAAATAGCATTGATTTAAATCTCTCAGTATAACAAAAAAACACTCTTGTTGTCCTTGACTACTTTCTTTTCCTTTCCTTCAATGTTTTTCTAGATTGTGAATGTTTTAGATCTGTATTACCCTGGGGAGACCCCCCTGCAGTGCTGGGGCCAGCTCGGGGGCCCCCAACAGCAGAAGGACACGGAGCTGCTCGAGCGGGGCCAGAGGAGGCCACGAAGATGCTGGGGGGGCTGGAGCAGCAACCTGGGAGGCCAGGCTGAGAGAGTTGGGGGGGTTCAGCCTGGAGAAGAGAAGGCTCCGGGGAGACCTTCGAGTGGCCTCCCAGGGCTTAAAGGGGGGACAGGAAAGGTGGGGAGGGACTCTGGATCAGGAGGTGGGGGTAGGACGAGGGATGATGGTTTAAACTGAAAGAGGGGAGATTTAGATGAGATCTAAGGAAGAAACTCTTCCCTGTGCGGGGTGTGAGGCGCTGGCCCAGGGTGCCCAGAGCAGCTGTGGCTGCCCCCTCCCTGGAAGGGTTCAAGGCCAGGTTGGACAGGGCTGGGAGCACCCTGGGCTGGGGGAAGGGGGCCCTGCCGGGGCAGGGGGAGTGGAACCAGATGATCTTTAAGGTCCCTTCCAACACAAACCATCCTATGATTCAGTTACTCCTGGAAGAAACACCACTTTTCATTCTTGGTTGTTCCCCTTTGTGCGTTCTAAAACTTCATGGTTTTCCTTAGTCCTATTTGTTAATTCATATGATTTATTTAACCACAAGTGGGAATGTGTGACAGACGTGGCCACATCATGCCTTAGGAAGAGAGCATTTGAAGGTGATGAGTGTTTGACTGCAGTCCAGCTAATCTCATTTATTTCATCTCTATGTCTACCCAAGAAGCTGGGGGCCATTGGTCACGGTGGCTCTGAGGCCTCCCCCATCTACCTTTTGAAACCTGGTTTCTGGGTGCAGAAGAGGAGTGCAGGGGGTACAAAGGCCAGGTTTAGCTGCTGGGATAGAAATTAAACATAGGAAGAGCTACAGTTAATGAAGGGTGGGGAGCATCTCTTCATTCATCCATCAGACAAGCCCCATGAAAAATGAGCGTCACAGACTTACAGAATCCCAGGTTGGGAGGGACCTCAAGGATCATCTGGTCCAACCTTTCTGGCAAAAGCACAGTCTAGACAAGATGGCCCAGCCCCCTGTCCAGCTGAATCTTAAAAGTCCCCAGTGTTGGGGAACCCACCACTTCCCTAGGGAGATTATTCCATGGGCTGGTTGTTCTCATTGTGAAAAATTTTCCTCTTGTGTCCAATTAGAATCTTCCCAGGTGTAACTTGTACCTGTTACCCCTTGTCTTTTCCATGTGACTTCTTGTAAAAAGGGGAGTCTCCATCTTCTTTGTAGCCATGCTTTAAATAAGGTGATAAGTTCTCCCCTAAGCCTTCTCAAGGCTGAACAAACCCATTTCTTTGAGCATTTCCTCAAGCAGGCTTCCCAGTCCCCTGGTCATCTTTGTGGCCCTTCTGTGGACCCTCAGCAGCCTGTCCACATCTTTTTTGCATAGTGGGGACCAAAACTGAACACGGTACCACAGGTGTGGCCTGACAAGCGCTGAGTAGAGCGGGATAATGACTCCTCTATCTCTGCTGGTGCTGACCTTGTTGATGCAGCCCAGCATCCCCCCGGCTCTCTTTGCCGCAGCACCACCCTGCTCGCTCCCGTCTCGCTCGTCAGAGCCGGGCGCTGCCCAGCTGCACACACGCATCTGTCACCTGCGAGTGTGCCCTTGGGGGGGGGGAAGGAATGCAATCGGAAAACTTTCCACAGCCCGTTTAAGCACTCTGCAGGTACGGGTCGGTCACCCGCCCGCACCGGGCTCCGCGCTTCCCCCCCCCCCCCTCAACCCCCCTCGGCTTCGGCTCCCGGGGGCGGGCGGCTTCGCGCTCCCCTGGCCGGGCCAACGCCGCTGCTCCTCCCCCGGGGGGGTGGCCCGGCTGGTGGAGGCAGCTCCGCCGCAGCCCCCCCGCAGCAGCAGCAGCAGCAGGAGCGGTCGGTGCGGGGCTGGGCGGCAGCGGGGGCCGGGGACAGGTAAAGGGCGAGCGGGCGGCTTCAGCGCCTCGGCGGGGGGGGTTGGGGGGGAACACGACGACGGACGCACACACAAATCCTCGTGTCCCCCACTTCATCGGGGCGCAGAGGGACCGAGGAGCAGCCCCTCGTCTCTCCGGGAGCCTGATCCTGCCTGCAGAAACGAAACGGAGGTTGGGGGGGGGGGGGGGGGGAGAGGGGCCGAGCGGGCAGGTCGGCGGCGCGGGGGCTGGGATGGGGAAGAGGGGGGAGATAAACGGTTTTTTCCTAGGAATTGAGAGGGGTGAGGGGAAGGTTTGGGGTGGAAATCTGTATTTATACCTTATTAACCAGGGGGGCCGGATCGGTTTTGTACGTTCCCGGGCTGCCCGAGGGTGTGAGTCATGCCGGCCGAGCGGCCGCACCGCAGTGCGCTAAGGCGGGGAGAGCTGCGGGGGTCCGGGGGGGCTGCGGGATCCCGGGAGGGGATGGAGGGTCCCGGGAGGGGATGGAGGGTCCCGGAGGGGGCTGCGGGGTCCCGGAGCGGGCACCGGGGACCGGGAGTCCTGCAGGGAAATCCCCCCCGGAGCCACGGCCAAGGGCGAGGGGCTGGGGGTGCAGATACCGCCCCAGGCGTGCTGCAGCGAACTTAAAAAAAAAAAAAAAAAAAAAAAAAAAAAAAATGGGAGGGAGCCAGGGTGCAGCTGCCGGGTGGGTGCTGGCTCCAGGGAACCTCGGGGAACGGAGCGGGGCGACCAGGCATTGAAGTGGCTCGGCCCCCCCAGGAACGGGGCTCCTATTCCTGGTGGCCCTTTTCTTGCCTCTTTCTGCTCTGAGGTTATGGTGAATAGTAGTAGCCAGGTCTCGTCCGTGTGCTCTCTCCCAGGTGGGACTGCAGAGGAATGCTTCTGTTGCACAATCAAGGCAATAAGCCGTTCTTGCTGTTGCAATCGCTTTTTCTTGTTATTGAGATTGGCTGGATGCTTGAGTTAAAACAGCAATTTAGATAATTCAGTTTAGGAAATGTTATCTGCTTTGTTTCCTTTCCATTTAGTGAATTGCTTTCTCTGTATTTTTGGTTTTATTAAGCTGAATTTTTGCTGTTGCCTCATCTCTTTGTCATTCAGGAGAACAGAAAAAATTACTCATTTTCACAAAAATAGATTGGTCAAACTACTACTGTCTGTTACACATAGTCAGCTGTTACACTGACTATGATAATTTTTATTAATCTGCCCTATATTTAGACTTAGTTTTGCGAAGAGACAAAACTGGTTTACTCTGCTGACATTGTTGAGTGACAGAGGGCTTCTGGAAGAGGTTCCCAGGGAGATTCTTGTTGCCTTCCACAAAGGCTCTTGCTTTAACCACCACATCAGTGGCAGTCCTGCAGAATCACATTACTGTGGGATGAGCCTCTGGTCTTGGAAGGCTTCTCAAAAAGTTGTTTACTCCAGAAAATCATCTCGTCCTCCTGCACATTATGGTTTGGGTTTTCTTAGGTTTCGTGCTTAGCAGTAGGTCATACAGACAAGAAAAAAAGAAATTGTGTGTTTGTTTTGTTTTGGTTTTTGTGGTTGTTTTTTTTTTTTTTTTTTTGAGGGTTTTTTATTTGTCTGTTTCAGTAGAAAAATTAACTGGACTTGAGGTTGAGAAGGATTTCAGTATTCTCATACTATGAAACTGTCTTTTCAAGTTCACAGTCAGTCTTCTGGGAGGTAAAAATTCCATCCCAACATGCTTATGGTCTGCCACACTAGACTCTTACTGCTTGAAGCTATTTCTCTATGCAGTTATTAACAGGGTCAAGAGCAGCAGTGTGACTGTTTTCACTACAGTCTTATCATAAGTGAAACTTGTTATCTGAATGCCTTTAATTCTTTGGGACTTCTGAGCCCACTCTGAGCCACTTACAATAGCAGAGATTTTTTAGTAGTTGATACAGTTTGTAGTTCAGATTCTGTGTGCAGAAGTGTAATAACTCCTGCTTTGGAGTTGCAGTGTTAAAAAACAATCTTGACCTTCCTATCTCACTGCTGCCTATGGTTACAGTAATCGTGGAGGACTTGAGCCATTGCCACAGTCACTTGGTGGGTTATTGCATGTGCTGGTCCCTCAGTGAGAGGGAGAAATTCTGGGAGAGGAGAGGCGAAAGGCACCTTAGTGCAAACAAATCTTTTGCAACCCCATCAGAGAGAGGGAAGGAGCACAGTCTGGCTCCAGGGTTATTGGGGAATCGCTGTAAAAGAAAAAGCATTCAAGATCTAAATGGTCTCTCTTTTTGTTAGGTGCATTTGTAGCTGTAAGAAATAGGGAGACCTGCTGAATGGTGTAATCAGAGGTGAGAAAGGAGACCCATCTACAGCCTGTCAGGGCTCAAATCTCAGTTCTCAGAATAAAAATCCTCTCTTGGAAAGTGCAAAGTTACTTTTCAGTCTTCTCTTTCACTGGTTTTCCTGGCCGATACCTTCAGTTCCATACTGAATCAAGTGTTGCAACCTCAAATCCTCACCATGTATTTTGCTAGTTTCATGAGGCTTGTAAATTGAGTAAGTCTGTAACTTCTGTTTATTGCTTCAAATTAGGGAAGAAGCATGACCAAGATGAATTGCATCCTGTTAACTGCCTGCATTGTTCTGGTTGTTTTTTGTGGTTCTGGTGAGTATAAAGGAGGTACTTTCCTGATGTAATGTTATGACAGGGGCTGGGGAAATCATGGAAAAAATGTCCAATGAGGAAAAATAACAAGAAAGGCCTGGATTATTTAATACCTCTTTGAGGAATAACAGTAACCATCGAAGTAGGGCTTTGTTTCTGTTGCTGATTGTCTTTGGTCAGCAGAAATAATCAGATGCAGACTATGATGTTGCTTAATACGGCAACAGACGTGTTTTGCTGCTAGAAGACTGGATTCCTGTCGTGTAAATTGGAAACTAGGTGTACAGCATGAGAGAGAGATGAGATGAAATTAAAAAAGGGATAGAATAAAATTCTGCTGAAAGTGTTCCTTGTTGTCTGTCTTTTTGGAAAAGGCAGTCTTTTAAGAGAATATTTAAAAAGCAAACATTTAATATATTGTTCTGCAGGCACATAAAGGTGAGTGTTTTTAAAAATGACATAAATATATGCTTCAAAATCTTCCTTTGAAAATTGCAAGTCTCAGTTTGTATGTTGACAAAAGCTTGTAAATTCTAGCTTAAGTTGAGTTTAATAACCACATGTCTTTTGTGACAGTTAGATGCAGGTAGTGATCCTTCTGTTTCCCTTTTTAATGCTGCTACTGTTTCAGCACTTTATTATTGAGTAAAGATAAATCCTTGTCGTCTTAGGTTATACCCTAAGGTGTTACCACTGTGAGAACAGCCCTTCCTTGTGCAAGACCAATAGTACTTGCCTAGCGACTGAAGATACTTGCTTGCAGATGAAATTTGGTATGTATAGTGTCCTACAGACCTAAAATAAACATGGTTATATCAGTTTTCATGGCCTGTCCACTTCTAATCTGACTTTAGCATGTGTTTCTTAGCCTCAGTCAAAAGAAGTTTGCAAATACTTTTGAAGGTCATGCTTATATCCAAGCAACTGGTAAAGATAATGAGGATTTAGATTGACAATTTATACTTGTACAAGCATACACACAGATATTTGTATATCCAGATTAAAAAAACCCCAAACACTGAACAACCCACTGCCCAAGGGAACTGGAAAATAATAGGAGACAGGGCGCTGCTCTATGCTGCTACCATCCTAAGGAATTTTCTCTTTTGCTGTTTCCCTTGAGCCTAAACCTTCACGAGCACAAACCATAGGCTTTCCAGCACGCAGCCTCAGTGGTTGCTCATTGCCAGAGTTGGGATTTGAGTACTCGAGGTGTCAAGCTGGGGAAGATGGAAGACAAGGTGTTTGATCTCTGGCGTCCAGGGGAAAGAGCGGGAGAAGGGGAGGACTCTTCTGCTCTTCGAGCTCCATCTTCTGCATGTTGCTTCTGGAAATGAAGCTGGTCAGATCCGACAGGATGAGCTAAATGGTGATGCACTGTCCTTCTCTGTCAGGAGCCCCAGAGTAGGTGTCACTCAAGCTCCACCCTGTATGACCCACCCCAGTGGGTCATCTGGACTAAATGGGAAGCACTGGTTAGCTTGAGATAGAAATCTTTCTTAACGTATGGTTAAGAGCTACAAGAGAGTGACATGGAGGCAGGACCATGGCCTGATATTGCTGTTCACACTACTAAATTCCTAGTGGAGGCAATTTTGGGAACTTCTAAACCCTTGAAAAGAAGCTAAAAAATGAAGTATGGCAGTCTAGGCAATGATTCTCTATACAAAAAATGGTATCACTCTCAGTAGTCTCTTAATCTGTTTAATTTTCTTTTTTGTAGGTAAATTGAGAACTTCCTCCTGCTGGAAGACTTCCCAGTGCAGTATGAATGATATTGCTGAATTCTTCCAGTTGGATAATTTTGATTTCTTTTGCTGCCAACACGACTTGTGCAATGAGAGCGCAATTACTGGGGTTAACAAAGCAGCCTTCAGTATTGCCTCTGTAATGACCATGTTATGGATGCTTCTGTAATAATCCTCATTTGTATGCTGTACTTTCAAGCTGAAATTATAAAAAAATCATTAACTCCTTTCTGAATTATACTTCTCTCATTTTCAGTTTCTAACTGAGCAGAAACATTACATTTTAAATTCTGTTTCCTAAGGTTCCATCTGTTAAATCACTGTCTCCTTTAATGGGAGGGAGATGTATATTGTTAGCAATTATAGGGAATTCAGGTATTTTGGCCTGCCCTATTCATGGGGAAAAAACCTTGTTATCTTGTGGAGAACCTGGGCAAACTTCAGTGGGTGATGTGAAAGGGATGAAATACTGTAGGTTTTATGCTGGAAAACTGTAATTTCTTACTGTTCCATAAACTGTGATTATTTTTGGTTGGGATTTCTGTGGGTTTTTTTCTTCTTTTTTATGAATATTCCTCTGTCATAAACCAAGCAGAGAATTTGCCCTTAACACAAGAAGTGTTGGATCATAAATAAAAATTCGCTGCAGTCTTCATGATGAGTATGGAAGCATTTAGTTTCAACTGATGTAGACTCTTTGTTCCCATCACTGTAACATTTTAAAATTTCTTTTTACAAGCCAATGATATAATCTTGTAAGTACTGTTATTCTGGGAGAAAGCATCTACCTTTCTTAAACCAAAACCAAAGTAATGCTATAAGTGAGAAACACTTTTCCTTCTTTTTATATTTCTGTGAGCATGCAAACAACGTGCTTTTTTTTTTTTTTTCCTTATACTTTATCCATGTTTAGGATTTTAAATAAGCATGTTCTTTGCACTGAGTATTTATTGGTATGCTAAAAATTGTTTATAAAATGCTGAGGAATTGAAATGGCACATTCCCACATAGTTAGCTTTTGGTTTTTGTTGAAAACAATGACAGATAAACTTAACTCTTCAATCTTCCACCTAAGTGTATTAAACAAAACCTTGCAGAACTTTATATTTTGACTTTTATGCAACTCTATAAATGCCAATAGAAAATATACATGTATTTATGTAGCATGAATAAAAACTGCTCAGTCTGTATGTGTAAGAGGTCTGGGGCTGAAATATTCTGTACATTGCTCCGACTCATTGGTGGAGACAGAACTTTGGTACTTCTTTGGTACTTAGGGACCCTCTCAGTCAGGTACAGTGTCAAATTTTCCTTTTTCTCTTCTGGAGTTCTTGGCATGTCCCTGCAGGAGTCGTGGTCCATTGCCAATGGCACACTCTCTTTCTGAGGACCCTCGCTTGTGACCAGTGACACCTGTTCACCCAGTCATAACAAGGGTGTTAGTCCAAAACCATCATGTATTCTGCAATGTATCTTTTGGTTAAGCTTATCTTAGGTATGAAACCATTCTGGGATATCTCTATAACTCAAAATATGGAAGTATTTAATTAATAAAAGTATCAAAAAAGAAAATCTGAAGAGTGTGGTTATTTATTGACACACTGATTACAGCTGGATATAACTCTAGTTGTTTCCATGTGAGATGCATCCACTCTTCCCACCCAGAGACTCTCAACAAGTTACATATAGGTTTCTCTGGAGAAGGGATCTATGTGTAGCTGGTTAGTTTTGGCAGATTGGTTATTTGCTTTAGGGAGCTGTTTGTTAGGACAAGGGGTAATGGTTTTAAACTAAAAGAGGGTAGAGGCAGACTAGATAAAAGGAAGAAATTTTTTATGATGAAGGTGGTGAAACACTGGCACCGGTTGCTCAGAGAACTGGTAGATGCTCCAGCCCTGGAAACATTGAAGGGCAGGTTGGACGAGGCTCCAAGCAACCTGCTGTAGTTGAAGATGCCCCTGCTTGTTGTAGGGGGGTTGGACTAGATGACCTTTAAAGGTCCCTTCCAACCCAAACCATTCTGTGCTTGGAAATGAGAGTTAGTGATCTTTCCCTAGATGAACTAACAATGTTGTGGCACTGGAGGGAAGCAGTAGGATACGTGTTCCCTCAATGCCTTCTATGTGAGAATTGTCTCATTGGACATACAAGCGTGCCATGATTTTGGGAAAGAGTTGTCCCTGCGTGACTGCTTTAACAACTCAAGATGACTGGCATCTAACATGCTTGCTGTGATTGCCTTCAGGGCAATCCTGTCTGCAATTTTCTACTACTGCATGTTTTTGTTCTCCTATGTGCTGACTAGATTTTTTGTGGAAGCTTTGGTTGTTTCTCCTCCCCCCCCAATTAGTTCTTAGCTTTGGCTAACTTCTAATATCTGCTTCAGGAGGGAAAATGGTTACATATGATACCCCCCAAGTTGTAAATGATCTTAATAGAAATTGTTGGCTTGGAGTGGGTGGCCAAGTTGAACAGAAAGCATTTTAGTTGTTACTTGTGAAGCCAAACAAGTGGAAAACTATTTTTCTCAGCTCTCACAGGCTAATTATACTTTGAACCTTTTGATGTGCATTCTCAATCCAACAGGTACTAGAAATGGTGATTTGATGTTGCACTAGAAAGAAGAAAACGGTTCTTGATTTCCTACTCTCTTGTCCTTCCATCTTTTTATTTCCTATCTGATTAACAAAAGCAGACACTTAAAGGACAGTAATTTCTGCACAGTGACTTTTTTCCACTGACGCATCACCATTTGCCAAGCTCTTTCTCATTTTAGATGAAAAAATAGTATTAAAGCACTGACGCAGTATGGAGTTGGGGCAAGGTTTGTAGCAGAGATTGTATCTTGGGTTAGACAAGCTGATAGATTCCTTATGCTTAAACCATCTTGGTTGCAGCATTTTTGCTCTACTATATTGTCAACGTCTCTCTTTTGATGGTTGGCACTTTCAGACTAGTTTGATTGATGTCTAGTCTGCTTATGTATTTTTTTTTTTAATAAACACAGAAAGAAGCTCTGTATTTTGTTTGATGATAGTTTGAACAATCACTTCTAGTATTTGTTTTCTGAAAGCCTTGAACACTTTCTGGTGTAATCTATCATATTTCTCCTTCCTTTCTCTTCTAGAAGCAGCCTGAGCAATGAGTCTTTGTGTTTTGCACTCTACAAGGCCACTTCTTTTGTAAAGATCAACAGGAACATTGTTTAATTCTTGTGGTGAGAATGCAAGTAGCAAAGTAAGAGAATTTACCATGATAGCAAAAAACTTTAAAAAAAATTTACTAGATTTCAAGTGGAAAGCATCCCTTTTGTCACTCTCCTGGGAAAGGTAGATTAGTTATGTAGGCTGATTCTCATCTCACGCCATTTACAAGCTAAATGATGATGCTGGGTTTCATGTTTTGATATATATTTGTGTCTTATAAGCCTGTGTGGTCTGACTGGTGAGCTCTCTCCTGCAGAAAGGGTTGTTGAACAGTGACTGCTGCTTGAACATTGGCACTTCTCCCACTGCTGCTGTATTACATCCAGGTTTGATGTCCAGCCTTCAAAGGTGAGTAACCAGAGCCATCAAAACTTTAGATCAAATACAATTCCATTTAGCGATAGTAAGACAATATAGTGCAGGGTGCCAGTGATCAATTCTGCATACAAGTATTACATCAGTGCAAATAGTTGATTTTGCTTTAGTTTTGCAAGACCAAACAGCCCCCATTAGGTTGTTACAAAATTTTCTGTAGCAGTAATTGGTCATTTTTGTGTATAGCGTTGCGTACAGTCTTGTGACTGTTCACTGTTATGTTCATCCATATTTTTAAGTCTATGATTTTTCACTCTATGTAACAGTATGGTTTAATGTGTTGGCTCTTATTATATCTAATTATAGCACTGTGATTGGATGGACTGGAATTTAGCTCTTTTCCAGTTGTAACAGCTAATTACGATGAACTGAAGGACTGGTGGGAAGTCACAGAATCACAGAAGGGACTTCTGGAGGTATCTGGTCCAACCCCGCTGCTCAAGCGGGGCCATCTAAAGCCAATTGTCCAGGACCATGTCCAGATGGCTTTTGAATATCCCGAGGGATGGAGACTCCACCACCTCTCTGGGTGACCTGTACCAGTGCTTGGTCACCCTCATACTGAAAAAGTGTTTCCTGATGTTCAGAGGGAACCTCCTGTGTTTCAGTTTGTGCCCATCACCTCTGGTCCTGTCACTGGGCACCACTGAAGAGAGCCTGGCTCCATCCTCTTTGCACCTTCACTTCAGGTATTTATATACATTGATAAGGTCTCCCTGAACCTTCTCTAAGATGAACAGTCCCAGGTCTCTCAGCTCCTCATAGGAGAGATACTCCAGTCCCTTTATCATCTTGGTAGCCCTTTGCTGTACTCTCCTCAGTATGTCCATGTCTCTCTTGGACTGGGAAGCCCAGAACTGAACATGGTTCCCCAGGTGTCGTCTCATCAGTGCTGAGCAGAGGGGAGGGATCATCTCCCCTGACCTGCTGGCAATACTTTGCCTAATGCAGTCCAGGATACTAGTTGCTTTCTTTGCAGCAAGGGAACATTGCTGGCTCATGTTCAACTTGGTGTCCACCAGGACCCTCAAGTCCTCCTCTGCAAGGCTGCTTGCCAACTGGTCAGCCCCCAGCAGGTACTGGTGCCTGGGGTTATTCTGAGTCTTCAGGGTGGGTGTCACAAAATGGGGCTTGAGCCCCAGGGACTCCAAATTTTAGGCCATCCCCACCGGTAAGTGCAGGTGCCAGATATTTTGTGTGGTTAAGCTGTGTCCTGTAAGATACGGGATAACGCAAAATATATTCAGGGTCAACTGCTGTATTACTGTACAAATGTGCCTGCTGCTCTCTGCAGTGGGTGCTGAGTGACTTGCCATTAGTGTCTGGGTTTTTTTTGTTTTGTTTTGTAATTATATAAGTGGTTTGCTCTGTTCTGAATTAGTGGCATGACTAAACACTCATGCTTAGCTTTTTACCTTTAAGCATGCTTTTTTTGCCAATACACAGAATTTATATACTAATGGCCATCTGACCATCAAGGAGTATTCTTCCCTGCGTCTACTTCTACGTATTCATTGCTCTCAGAACCATTAGTCCCCTTTTTGAGGCAGAGGTTTACAGAGGAGTTATTTTTCCCTACAAGCATATGAAGAATGAGCTAGCAAATGGAAGCTGCAGTAACAGCAAGCGATGTGTGCCAAAATTCATTCTTGTGATCTGTCTTTGCCATTAATTCCTCCTTCAATCCCTCCTCATACTTTCTGCCTTCTGCATGGTGGTGACTAGCTGTCCTTTGACTTGAGTTTGGGCATGGAGAGCACGGAAGCCCCACAGTACTGGTGGGAAGGTGGGGCTGATGGACCTGGTTGGTAGGGATTTTGCTCTATCCCATCTGAAGACCTTCTCTAGTTTTACCATCGCTTATCAAAGATAAGGTGGGATGTCTCTGCTATTTCAGGATGCAGGGAATTGTGGAAAGAAGCAGCTGCATGGGAAAAAACAGATAGGCAGAACAAGCAATTTCCTCCCACTGCCTGTTGGAGTGAGAGGAATGAGGAGGCTGACCAGCGAGGAGCTTTTATTTTGTAAAAAAGAGGAGGAATTGATAAGAAAATAAAGTAATCCCAACAGAGAACTGCACATAAAGTAACTTGCTATTGTGCTAACTAGGGCATCTAGATACTGTTGTTATCCAAACATTAAACACATTTAATAATGGCAGTGTTTCTCCAGCCAGAATAAAGTTTAGTATGCCTGAATCTCTACATGTCTCCAAGGGGCTTGCATCTTGCTGGTAAATACAGTCAGTTCCAGGGTTGCTATCATAAAAGGGAAATTAGGCTGCAAGACAGACCTAAACATCCAAGACAGCGTTATCTGTAAAATGCCCACTTGTGTTCAGGCAGAAACTAGTACACTGCATTTTCTGACTTGAAAACACAATGTTAATTTTGCACTAACAGGATGATGATAACAGCATTCTGCATTTTAGAGAGGGATAAGAGAGCAACTAATGTGGCTGAAGAATCCCCAAAAGAAGTAGGTTGTCATTTCTACTCCCATTTTTCCAAGAACAATTTATACACTGGGATACGATACAGACCTGCAGATGATATTATCTTTATGGGTTTATATGCTGCATTTATTACTATTGTGTGGCAACTACAGCATGGGAAAAACTGTTCTGGAGGCTATAAAAGTGAAAGCTTAAAAATGCTTTTGGTTTCTTTCACTTAATTGGAATGACTAAGAAAAATGTTTGGAGTAAAGTTTCAGGAAAGAAAATTTTCTGAAGTGAAAAACTAATTCTGAAGAGTCAGTTAAGATGATGATACAGGTGTAAACATGAAGTGACGGGGACCTAAACACAGAGTGTTTCCCCAGGCAACACTAAAATGCATATATCCATATAGGAGAGCTGAAAATTCTGTGATTTTTGCCTCCTGCAGAGACTGCAGGGCAGGATTTACTCAGAGATGAATCTTTCTTTACATGTAAGCCTTTTATATTGATCCCTTTTCGCATATATCTTCTGCTTCTGCTGCTCTTTGT